CATGATGCTGACGTGCTCGTTCGCCGAGGTGTTGGAGATGGTGAGGACGGCGACGCGCCCCGAGACGATGTTCTCGAAGTGGAAGACGGGCCGCAGGTGCTCCGCAATCGCTGCAACGCAGGCGGCGGGATACCACGGAACCAAGAAGGCCAATCCACCTGTGCCAGGCGAGCCGCCCGGGGAGAAGAAGACGTGATAGTGGTACGGTAGCTGGTCCAGGATGGCGCGGAGCTTCGCCTCGGTGCCGTGCGTCTCCTGGATCACGATCAGCATGCGCATCTTCATGAGCTTCGCGAGCCTGGAGATCTTGCCATGCCTCTTGTACGCGCGCTGGCAGAGGAGCCCTCGAGCGTTCCAGGAGGCGATGCGCAGCCCTTCGAAAGTCTGCTTACCCTGGGCCGGGACGAGTTCCCAGGGCAGCCACCGCGGGCTAGGAGCAAGACCAGGTGGAGGTATCCACCTCGCCGGCCATCTTGGTGGCGTCGTGGAACATGTCGAGGGCACGCTGGCGCTCGGGGTCAGGCAGGTGGCGAGAGGCTCGGGGGTCCCAGAAAATCTTGGACGGCTCGTGGAAGCCCTGCGGGACCGAAGAGGAGGAGGAGGAGGAGGAGGAGGAGGAGGAGGACACGAGGCAGTTTGGCAACACTCAGGCGGCGACCCAGTCTCGGGCGGGAACCAGAGCCCCGCGACCGGAGAGGCTAACGGGCACGGCCCTGGCCATCATGAAGCGTGTACATCTTGCAGTCGGGGCGTTGACCTAAGGAACCCTAAATAAGGAACGAGGCCTCTTTTTTCCATAAGTTAAACTTCGATTTCCCCTCGAAAACATAAGGAAAACCTGAGGCAAACTGAACAACAATCAAGGAATGCCGAGCCCCTCTCCAACGAGAAGGGTTCCTTCTTCAGGGCCCCGACTGTACAGCTAGAGCCATCGCGCGCGCTTCGCGCGCGCTCAGGTTCTCCAGAATCCCAGCTCGCAGTGAAATACCGAGGGTTGGGCGACGGCTGCGGATAGGACTTTCGTCCGAATGGGCAGCGGGAACACGTAGCAAACCGCCCTTCCCTGAGCACGGCGGCCTCCAGGAGGACGACGAAAAGGACGAGGGAGGGCGGTTCGGAGGTCGAGAAAGGGGGGGGGAAGAGTCCAGGAGCATGACGGCGACGAAGACGAGGGCAGAACGGCAAGCAGGAGCGGGAGCACAAGGAGGAGCGGAGCCCGTGGAGGCAAAAGGCAACAAAAAGAGGACACAGAGGAGGGGGCGCCGTGCTCCTCGTCCACGTCTGCACCTCCTGGTGGCCTTCGACCCAGCTTGCCACCGTGTCTGGAGTGTTGGTCAGAGACCTCTTGGATGCATTCCGGGGTCTTTGGGGAAGGAGCCTCTGAACCACTTCTCGGAGGCAGGCCTGAAGCCCCTGGGGGGCCGCCTGGGGGCCTCTTGGGGCCTCTCCTGGGTCTTTGGGGGGGGGCATTTGAGGTCCTCTTGGGGAGGGTCCTTGGGGGTCCTGCGGGCGCTCTCCTGGGCCCACTCGGGCCCGAGGCCTCGAAATGTGAGGACAGAGGGGAGGGGCCACCGTGCCCCTCGTCCACGCGTGCCGCTCCTGGGGGCCTTCTCCCCCATCCTGCCACCGTGCCTGGGTTGTTGGCGTGAGACCTCCTGAATGCATGTTCGGGTCTCTGGGGGGGCCCCCTGGGGGAGCCGCTCCGAGACGGTTTTGAGACTTCTTGGGACGCCCTTCGGGGCTTCTTTTGAGACTTGGGCCTCTTGGACCCCTTTTCACAGACAGTAGTTACGACGTGCACTTTGCATTCGAATCTTATGCGCGGACGCCACACAATCACATTGCACTGGTTTTGACAGGGACGGCAGGGGGGGCAGTCACATTCTGGTCGCAATGCGAACTCCCCCCCACCATGCCTGGCAAAATGCAATGCAACGTGCACTTTGCACCATAATCCAGATCATGCACGGACGCCCCGCGATCCCCTCGCATGGGTTTTTGACAGGGACGGCCCGGGGGCAGCATATAACAAACTGAACGCAATGCCAACACGCCCCAAGCAGCAAAAATAGAACGTGCACTTTGCAGCAGAATCTGGATCATGCGCGGACGACCCACGATCCATTCGCATCGGTTGTTGACAGGGACGGCGGGGGGGCAGCATATTGCGTGCTGTGCGAAAGGCCAACACAACCCAACCATCCTTCGCCGAAAGACGCAACCTGCACTTTGCAACATAATCTGAATCATGCGCGGACGCTCCGCACTCACTTTGCACTGGCCCTTGATAGGGACGAGGGGGGGGGGCTGGCATACTGCCTGCAGCGTGCAGGACCACCATCCCGTTCAACAATAAATGCGAAGTTAACCTTGCCAGGAACGGCGGGGGGGGGGCGACTGCCTGCTGCGCACAGGCCCACCACCCCTGTCAAAAATGCAAAGTGGGTGCGGGTGCACACCCGAGCTCAGTACACAATGCTCGCAAACCCGCCGTCACTTCCATTGGTTTTGGACCAGGTGGGAGGATCGCCATGTTGCCCAGTGTGGCGCACCTGTTGCGCGTGGCGCACCTGGCACGTGCGGCGCGCGCACCTCGCGAGCTTCGAGCACCTGGCTGGCGTGCATTGGCTCCCGATGGCTGTCGATGGTGGTCCCTGTCCATGCTGAGACTCGGATGCTACTTACGTATTGAGAGGGCAGGTGGGAGTGGGCACGGCTTGTTGCTGGTGGGTAGCGTGACCCCTCTCCCTACCCCCCGGAAGGGGGGGGGTCGTGTGCGATCAGAGCGTCCAAGATGGCCTCAGCGAAAAAGAAATAATCATTGATTGGCTCCTGTTTTGGGCCAAGTAATCCGCGTGCCCTCTTTTTTCATTCACGGGCCTCCAAGATGGCCCCAAGACGGCCCGAAAAAGCCCCCAAAAGAGTTCAAGAGGACCCCTAAAAGACCCCTAAGATTTGGACACCCGAAATGGGTACCGAAAGAATGGGTACAATGCTCACCGACAAATGTTGCCCCAAACCAACAGCGGCCGCTGTTGGGCAGGCGACCTTCTGTCTCACATGGACACAGGCCGCGGCGGCGCGGACAGCGGGTCCTGCTCAAGATGAACAGGAACTGCTGCTGGGCATTGTACCCATTCTTTCCGTGCCCATCTCGTTCGTGCAGATAAGGGGCCTCCAAGGAGCCCTCCAAGACACCCCAAGAAGCCCACGAACCCAAGAAGCCTCTAAGGCCTCTTCTGTTAGAGGCTCCAAGAAGCCTCTAAGGCCTCTTCTGTTAGTGGACCCAAGGAGCCTCTAAGGCCTAACAGGACAACCCAAGAAGCCTCTAAGGTTTGTTAGAGCCTTCTTGGGGTGTCCTGTTAGAGGCCTCCAAGACACCCCAAGAAGTCTCTAAGAGGCCCTGGGCAGACACACCCACAGAGCCAAGGAGGCGTCCAAGGAGCCCCTGGCTCACCGAGGCGCTCCAGGGTATCCCGATAATGCCACGCTCCCCCCCGGGCATCGTTCCTGAATTGGGTAGGGGGATACGAAATGCGTTGCCGCCATCGGCCTGACCTAAGGAATGAGAAATAAGGAGCGAGGCCAATTTTTTCTCCAGGGAGTCACGCATAAGGAACGATGACTGATCAATAACGTATAAGGGGACGATAAACAACGCATACAAGCCTAAAGAACGACGGAGCCCCTTTTGAGAAGTTAATGTTCCTTAATCAAGCCGCTCACTGTAAGAATAATGATCCTAGACACGAACACCCTCACCTTACCCTCATTAACCGTTTCTTGACCTAACCCTGTATGCCTGAACACTGGTCTTTAGCTTAAGCTCTAACGCCCACATCCTAACTATGACGCCCTAACTCTAAACCAGAGCCCTACAACGCTAACCCGGACACACTAACAGTTCCACTACGCACTATTATTCCCAAACCACCCTAAACACGATCCGAAACCCGAACCCTTCAACCCGACAACATCTCGCAAGAACCAACGCTAAGACCAGACGTCCTGCACCTCAACGGCTTATCCCTAACGTACTAACCCTAAGTACGCGGCCTACCCCAAACATCCGAATCCTAACACGCAAACGTGAACCCTAGACCTAACACCTTAAATCCTTACAGCCTACACCGAATCCTCCCCCTAAGCACGAATCCTGAAACCTGACGCGCCCATGACACGCTAACCCTAATCCTAGGCACAAAAGCTAGCCCTAACACCTAACCCCAAACCCAAACCCCCTAAACAAGCACCAGCCCCAGCCATAAGCCCTAGCCTCTAAGACGCTCACCCGAATTCTCTGACCCCTACCCGACGCAGTAACCCCAACCCTACATCCTGACCTTGAGCCCACACACCAACCCTAAATCTCTAACCCCGCCTCACGCGCCGAAGCGCCACCAATCCCGCTCCCTCCGCCGCCAAACAATAGGCAGGAGGGAGGGGGGGGGCCCGTTTCACCGGCGTAAGCAAGGGTAGGGAAGGAGCTTGAACCCCCCCTTGTGACAGGGGGGCGAGGGAAGGGAGTGGGTCAAAAACAAACGCCCTTGTCAATCACCGGGGCAGGCGTTGGCAAATGTTCCATGCCGCAGGAAAACACACGCACCAACATGTCGGTGGCCTCGTCAAAAGAAATGGCCTCCGCGTCGAAAGACGAGACTGGGTCCTACGCAAGAGTCCCGGCCATGGCCACCAAGAAAGGCCCCCTGCCGACCACGGAATGTGAATACCATGCGGCAGCCAAACACGAGCTCGCACGGGTCCCAACGTATGTGCGCACAGGCAATTTCGAATCCCTGGCGCAGAATATGCCTTGGGTGGGGTAACTGCACGTGTCCATGACCGCTGTGAGTCCATGCCTTAACTAATTGAAAGCACGAGGTCCCCAATGCACCGCGCTTTCTACATTGCGGGACGGCCTCCACCCCTTGTCTCCTCTCCCTGTGTTTTTCTGCCTCCCCCTGCTGATCCTGCCCGGGCAGAAAAATGAAGCCGACGTCCTTCGCATGCGGACCTCGAGCGCTGCAGCAGCAGTGACGTCCTCGGGAGGCGTGGATGGCGGCAACAACAAATAAAGGAGTCCGGATGACTGTTTGGAAACAGACACGTCGACCCATCATCGCAATCGCCATCCCAATCATCAGCATCGATTGCACGCGAGGCTCCCCCCGCCCCGCCCCCCTTGCGATGGGCGGCAGACAGTCCCTACCGAGGAACCGTTCCTTGCCCTTTGGCGGCGGGGCCCCAGGTGATGAGCACGGCGCAACGCAGCACCACTGAAGAGGGGAATTGGAAGGGGGCCTTTGCTGGCGGGTGGGCGCGCGCACGGGAGCCCCAGGACATGGAAGCCCACCGCTGTGAATGTCGACACCGACTTGCGCAGCGGCTCGGATCAATGGCTCATCTACCGCAGCGGAAGTTGCCAGGAAATCCGACATGCTCTGGAACTTGGAAATCCGATCCAGCAGATTAAAAAGTCTGGCACATCCTCCTCCTGTTCCTCTTCTTACTTATCTTCCTCTTCTTTTTCAACTTCCTCCTCCTCTTGCAATGCAGCTACAGCGGTCCTGACTACAGCTGCGGTCTGCTTCTCAATGAACTCCTTCACCCCCTCATGATTAGCTCTCAGTGCCACTGCCACGTAACTGTAGTCACCCCGTAGCACGCGGCTTCGCACAGATCACTGGACCAAGCTGGGTGCTGGGTTTAGGTTGAACCATTGTTCTCGGCCCGAAGGCGTGCTCAACTTCAGGAGCGGATCTCCTGGATGAGCGAGTGCTGCTGCCGCTGCTGCCGTGGCTGCCAGTAATGTCGCTCCACTTCGTCTCGATAAGGACTGCACAGGAACGATTCAATGATTAGCAGAACAAAGCGACTGTACCACTGCCAAGTAGGTTGGCAACATATCAGCGGGAACGCTAACACCTGACCGAGAGATGTACGGCGATGCTACTCACCCAGTCGCATGGCCCGCTTCTGCCATGTTCTAAGAGATCTTCGTCTTCTTCGTGTTATTCCTCCTCCTCCTCCTCTTCCTCCTCCTCCTCCTGTTCCTACTCCTCTTCCTCCTCTTCATCGCCCCATCCCCCTCATCATCCTCATCCTCCCACCATTATCCAACCATCCTGTTCCTCGTCCTTCTTTCCCCGTTGCGCACGCACGACGATGCTGATCAAGATGCACAAGGCGGGCTTTGCCATCCGGATCACCAAGACAAAGTGGGCAGACACCTCGCCCCTCCAAGTCCAAGCACCCCTGGGGCCGACTAGGCAGGCGGTGTCCCAGCGTTGCTCAGAGGGAAAAGGAGCGAGCGAGAGAAATAGAGGCTACGAGTAGGGGAACCAGCTGGAGAGGGCACCTCAACAATTCTGCTCGTACTGCACCTCGTGCGCGCCACTCTTGGAGCCGAGGCCTGCGACCTGGTCGACCACGACTCCCTCCACGGGCCTCTCCGGATCCGCACCCCCGAGGAGACGCCCAGGGATAGGGGGAGGAGGAGTGGAGACGGGAGGGGAGATGGAGGGGAGAGGGAAGAGGGATGGAAAGATACGGATACGTGTTGTCCCCGGACCTCTCTTGGGGTGCGTTCTGACCAGAATTTCGAAGCGAATCCAGCGGTGACAACGAGGATTCCCCAGGAGGGCCAGGAAAGGCCGAAAACAAAGGGGGACACACGTATCCGTATCTTTTTCTCCCCCGAGATGGGGGGGAGGGAGGGGAGGAGACGACGTCGACGGCACCGCCACAGCTCGTTTGGGCACGTCCTCCGGCGCCGGCCGCAGCTCCACGCCCGAGTGCCCAGCAGCTCCGCGGCGAGGGCCCCAGAGGCACTCCTCCCGGAGCACCTGGCGAGGGCAGGGTTGCATCCTCCTCCTCCTCCTCCTCCTCCTCCTCCCCCTCCTCCTCCTCCTCCTCCTCCTCCTCCTCCTCCTCCTCCTCCTCCTCCTCCTCCTCCTCCCTCCTCCTCCTCCTCCTCCTCCTCCTCCTCCCTCTCCTCCCTCTCTCCTCCTCCTCCTCCTCCTCCTCCTCTCTCCCTCCTCCTCCCTCCTCCCCCTCCTCCTCTCCTCCTCCTCCTCCTCCTCCTCCTCCTCCTCCTCCTCCTCCTCCTCTCCTCTCTCCTCCTCCTCCTCCTCCTCCTCTCCTCCCCTCCCCTCCTCCTCCTCCTCCTCCTCTCTCCTCCTCCTCCTCCTCCTCCTCCTCCTCCCCCTCCTCCTCCTCCTCCTCCTCCTCCTCCTCCTCCTCCTCCTCCTCCTCCATTCTTTCCCCTTATGAAGAAATTCTCCTTGTCGCACCCCGAGGCCAGTTTTCAGGGCGGGTTTCGCCTGAGACATCCTCGCCATTTCTGACTCTGAAGCTTAAAAGTGGCAGCGGTTTCGCAGATGGAGGGCGGGTTGTTTTCAAAATGTGGCTCTCGCCTTAGCGCCACGAACATTCGTCGTAAAAAAATGCAAGAGCTTGGCGGATCGAGGGCAAATCATCTTCAAAATGTGGCTCCCGCCTTAGCGCCGCACAGATTTGTCGTAAGCATTTGCAAAAAACTTCACGGATTGAGGACGAGTCGTTTTCAACATGTGGCTCTCGCCGTAACGCCGCGCACATTCGTCCTAACAAATTGCAACCAAATTTTCACGGATTGAGGGTGGTTCCTTTTCAATATGTGGCTCTCGCTTTAGCGCCGCACACATTTTCTTCAACAAAATGCAAGAGTTTCACGGATTCCCATGATCAGCGTACCAGAACTTGTGTTACAAAGGACTCAAGCTTATTAGGGTGCACAGGTTATCTTGATTCAGGGTGTTCGAATCCCAGGAATGGCTCTCTGTCAAGAGTCAGGATCGCCAAGACGCAACATCAGGTTGATTCGTGGCGTTGGAAACCCGAGAACAATGCTTTGGCATGCTTCAGTCTCTTCAAACAAATGTCTTCCAACGAGGCAATTCCCTCAGTAACAATGACCCGTTGTAGGGGCCTACGAAGAGGGAGCTTGGAGGATGTATTACAACATCGTTGATGCCTCTTGGGTTTACGTCACTGGTCCTCCTCCTCCTCCTGCTCCTCCTCCCTCCTCCTCATCATAACCCGTCTCGATTCCCCTACTGTATGGAACTCCTGAGGACCTTGCTGGACGGCACTACGTACTGGAAAACAACACTTTTCTTGAGTACGATTGTCTATGCTTGGAAAGCTGTTACCTCCCAGCTCAGATGGCAGCCTCCTGTATGCCGAGGCTGGTTAAACGGTCTTGGTTTTCCGCTGACGAAATTTCCGACGACGACGGGACTTGCTGCGCTACCCCAGAAAACTCGAAATTCGCATTACATGATCACTGAATGTCAACCATATAATATGTCAAACCGTCTTCTGACGCACAGTTTTTGACCACTGGATCATCCGAGCACCAGGGCGGTGTCCATCCATGCGCGTACGACTTGCAGAATCCCTGAGTGGTCCTCCTCCTCCTCGTCCTCGTCGTCCTCCCGATCCTCCTCCTCCTCGTCCTCCTCGTCCTCCTCGTCCTCCTCCTCCTCCACCTACTTCTCCTCCTCCTGCTCTTTCATCATCATCATCAGCATCAGCAGCAGCAGCATCATCACCACCATAATCAGAATCAGCATCATCATCAGCATCATCATCCTCATCATTGTCATCATCTGCATCAGCATCATCATCATCAGCATCAGCATCAGCATCACCACCAACAGCATCATCAACAGCATCATGATCATCAGCAGCAACAACATCATGCCATTATCATCATTTATCACCACCACCATCATCATCGGCATCAGCATCATCACCATTATCGTCATCATCGGCGTAATCAGCATCACCACCACCATCATCATCAGCATCATCATCGTCATCATGCTGGCCAGCATGATCATCGTCATCGTCATCGCCATCGTCAACACCACGACCATCATCAGCAGCATCATCAGCAGCGTCATCAGCATCATCATCAGCATCAGTATCATCAGCATTATCATCACCCTCGTCAGCATCAGCATAATAATCGTATTCATCATCAGCAACAGCATCATCATCACCATCACCATCATCATCAGCATCAGCATGGTCATCATGATAATCGTCGTCGTTATCGTCATCGTCATCGTAATCATCATCAGCAGCAGCAGCATCACCATCATCATCATAATCGGCAGCATCAGCAGTTTCATCATCATCATCATCATCAGCATCATCATCAGCATCATCACCACCACCATCATCAGCGACCTCAGCCTCGTACTCATCCAAATGGATCTAAGGGGGAGCGGACGACGTCTGTCCAGATGCCCCCAAATACCCCCGCCGAAAAAAGGCTGACGGAACTACTAAGCACATGCGCACAAACATGGAGCACCACACCTGCAGCGGTGGTCTGGGGTTTTCCGTTGCCGTCGTCAGTGGCTCACATTCGCATGACCTGACGGAACGACTGCGTTCTCGTCAAAACCAAGAAGCAGCAAAGGAGGACGCATTATGGCAAATCCAAACAGCGGGCAGACGATACAAACAAAACACGTAGCTCGGCGTGGCAACAGGGCGATACGAGGTACTCAACGACAGCGAAAGGCTGCACGAGCAGGAAAGTCACGCAGAGCTTCAGAAGAAAACAAGAGTAAAAGAGCAAATCATCTGAAAAGTCATATATGAACTGTGAGTGGATTGCACGCGCCCCTTGTCATCCTCGTTAGCCAGGTGAGAAGAAGAGGGGGATATTGAAGCGAAGAGCAAGCAATGATGGCGATGACAATGATGATGATAATGATGATGATGACGATGATGCTGATAATGCTGATGATGGTGATGATGATGCGTCTTTGTTTTATTTCCACCCGGCATTTAAGTTTTACCAATTCTCGCTCCAAGCGACTCGAAGGGCAAGACGCCTTCTCGAGTGCAGCCGGAGCCTGGCTTAGAAAGCCTGGCGGACGACGCGTTGCCCAGCCGCGCACTCGCGTGCGCGAGACCAAACGCGCCGCAATACCTTCAGATCTGAGCGGAGCAGCAGGAGAGGGGCAGAACAAACATCATTGGCAGCTGGGGTCTCTGTCCACGCAGACTGGAATCAAGGCTTACAAAAAGTTCGCTGCCGATGTAACTCTCAGAGCCGCCAAAGTCGCCAGCCCAGACCACGGTCCCGAGAGCAGCGGGAACTTGCCTGCTGGCGCCGAGACGAGTGGAGGGCCAACACTCGAGCCAGATAGCACGCACCTACTGTCGTTTCGTCTTCAGCCCCCCCCCTCTCGCTCGCCCGCGACGCGACGAACTTGAGCAGGGACCGACCGTCACGGCATTCCTAGAGGCCTACCACGAGATGTCCTTAGAACCCCAAAATGTTCGAACAGAAGCCCGATGTGTTAAAACAAAATACTCCCAGCCAGCAATGTTCTAAGACCATCTCGTGGAAACCACAAAAGGTCCTCTGAACATTGCTTGGTAGGCCCATGGGCACGCCAGGACGCTTCGCCCCTGCTTGACGAACGCCCCCTCCCGCTCCCTCACGCAAAAGCGCTCTGCTTCCTCCTCCTCCTCCTCCTCCTCCTCCTGCTCCTCCTCCTCCTCCTCATTCTCCTCCTCCGCCTCCTCCTCCTCCTCCTCTTCCTCCCCTCCTCTCCTCTCCTCCTCCTCCTCCTCCTCCTCCTGACATCCTGCTCTGCTGCTCCCCCCCTCCTCCTCCTCTTCCTCCCCCTCCTCCTCCTCCTCCTCCTCCTCCTCCTCCTCCTCCTCATCCTCCTCATCCTCCTCCTCAACTATGCGAATTGAAATTATCCGAAGCCCGCGAGCGAGCCGCTCGCGCCCCGCCCCCCAGTGAAAACTTGGCGGGGCCACCTGGGCAGCTCGCCCCCCGCGGTCCGAGGCGGCGGAAGACGAGGAAGCGGACAATGCAATGCGGGAAGCGACGGAGGAGGAGGAGGAGGAGGAGGAAGAGGAGGAGGAGGAAGAGGAGGAAGAGGAGGAAGAGGAGGCATAACAAGAGGGACGAGCTCCAAAAACCAGTCGGATTTCCATTGATGCTGGTGAGGAAAGAGCCCCAAATGGGAGACCAAGAAATCACAGAGTAACGGGCAGGTCGCAGAATGCTTCAAAACATTTGAATCCGCTCCCGACGCAGGACGAGCACAACCAAATACACAGCCACGAGGTGCACAATAAAAGCGGGATGTCGCACAAAAACAATGGCAGTCAATGCGCACATGGATGCACCAACTTGCGCCTGTGAAATTCTTCACACGAAATATTGGCATGGCGGATGGCCTGTTCAACATGAATAGGCGTGATGTCATGACGCCGTGCACATCTCCTCTGATGCAAATCAGACTGCGGGCAGTGTTTTCGCGGAGTCGGGATGGCAAGCTTCAGTTGTTTACCAGAAAGTGTCTGGAGTCCAGCTCGGCCGATATGCTGAAGCAGGTATGCGGAAAACAATGAAGTGCAACGTGGCATTCTGCTGCGCAGAACATAAGAAGGAACTGTGTTTCCACTAGCCCCTCACCCCACGCACCCCACGCACGATCACGATTTCATCACTTCCTCGGATATCCTACAAACATCTGTGGGCAGGGCGCAGAGCAGCACGCTTTGCGAGCAACCGGAACTGTCTGGCCATGCGAAACAAGAAATGTCTCGGAAACTCAATAGTGACACCGAGAATGCGGAGCCCCATCTGCAAATTCTGCGAGAAGCTGCGACGCGACGCAGCATTCAACTGCACGGCAGGATCACTAGCTGCGAACGACTCAAGAGACGGATGGTAACATTGAAGGGTAAACTGGAGATTTGACAGAGCGTAGCACTGGTGCGAACAAGCAAACACAGAAGGCCAAACCCTTGTGTGCGG